CAAATAAATCATGAGTGTATCACCGGTTCGTAATGAGAACGCCAGGATCACTGTGCAGTTAAGTATCTTGGCTGTTTGGCCGCTTTACTTAAGAGCAGCAGAGAAGTAAAATCCCAACAACTAAGGCCTCCGGCAGCTGGTCTGAGCACACTGTGGTGTCTCTTCTCAAAGTCACTGCCGAACACATAGGTATGCGCACCCGGGTGACTGGAGGTTAGCAGTCCGGACGCGTCTGCTCACTCTCGGTATTAAATATTTAATAGCATATTTTCCCTTAATGGAACCCAAGCCCATCTGATCAGTCACTGGGATCACCTAGTAATGTAGTCAAGAGTTACAATGCGGCCATCTCACATCAACTTTGTAATTAGATAATCCATCACTTTATTAATTCAAAAAATTGCTTCCCTTACTGCTTTATAGCATGCCACAGTAGTGAAAGCCAATTGAGTTCATCAACAAAAAGGCACTAAAATTTTGTCTGATGTGAACTTGAAGCCCTCAAGTGGCAAACACACACATACTCATGACCTTTCCAAACAACAAGAGGTAATATTCTGCCTGCAAATTAGACAACACAGAGCACTGGCGTCACCCGGCACCAGCGTGGCCAGCACAGACAGCTAGAACAAGTCAACGGCAAGTTATAGACTGAAAATTGAATATATCAAGGTAAGGTTCGCTCTTTCTTTTTACTGATGAGCAGTCTCCCAGAGAATTAAAATAAATAAATAAAAGAAAGGTTTGCTTAAAGTTTTTTCTTCCCATCAATTCTTTACTAAAATTACAGGATAGATTATTTATCAACACTCCACATCTTGATAGTACACTCCTGCTAAATGCAAGTCATGATTTTGAATCTGAGCCCTGTTTTATTTGGCCTTATCTCTAATGTCCCACAAAACATTGAATCAATATCACTTCCCATCTTATTCATTCACAAGATTCTTGTTATAACAGACTCTGAATTCTCCAATTAAAAGTAAAAAGAATTTGCTCAAAATGAAACAGAATATAAAATTTCAGTGTCCCCAATACAAAAAGCCACCTTCTAATGTACTCTTTCAAATTCATATAACCAGCATACACTGCAAATGCAGCTAAATGCATTAAAAATTATATTTTATCAAATTAAAAATTACATTTAAGAAGGCATAGGTGCCTTAAAGAATAAAATGGGACCAGAAGAATTATTGTTTTGTGTGAAGAAAAATGGGGAGGGAACATCTTCTCAAACAGATGTGGGATTTCTAATCAAAAAAAAACTCTATGCCAACAGCATAACACTGAAATTAAACAGTGCTTCAGAGCTCAGGGACACTAACAAAGGCACATGTTTTGTGGTCAGGAAGGTCACTGCTACTGTTGCTTCCAATTTAATGTCTATTTCTGAAATATTCTGTGCAGCTCATGCCATTTCTACATTATTGCTCTGATCTTATTATGTTTCTAATCAGTCAAAATTCATTTTTAGAAAAGTTACAACCCAGAATAAAAGATAGCTTTCTCTAGAACCCTATACCAACCCCTACACAAATATTTTCTGTGCATTTATTATAAAAAACTCAAAAGCTGTTTGCTAAAATTACGGTTAGCCTATTCGTAAACATTTCCAATAATTAAGATGAACAGAAATATTGTATGTCGCAGTCCATTTCAGAAAATTATGATAACGAAAACACTTGTAATTTAGCTTATTCTTCTTCAGGTACAAGAATGAAGCAGATTTCCATGACCTACAGAAAACACTCAGGAGTCAAGTGGGCTGCTATGAGTGAAGACAGAGGTGAATTTTTGCCATAATAGCTGTGGACTAAAACAAAAATAGCTTACAAGGGTAGAGATACCATTTTCTGTCTGCAAAATTTCTTCTCATCAAGACAGGTAGGTAATTGATGGCATCTCAAGAGACACCAGCGCTGAGCGCAACAGTGACCAATGGCCTGAAGTCTGGATTACAATCAGGAGCAGCCTGTGCTCAAGGCTGAATGCAGTACTGGGAGACATAAAAGCTGACATTTCATACTCAAAGACCAATGCAGGGAGGTGGAGCCACAGTAGGAGACAGTCACAGTATGCTCCAGAACTCTACCAAGCAACTTACAGTCAGTCCTCATTTTTATCCACAAAGGAGATGATGTTATTATTCCAATGCACATAAGAACACATGCAGGTATTTTCTCAAAGCAAAAAAATGAAATTCTCCTATCTGTATTTTTTTGTGTGTGTGCACATGTATGTACGCGCACACACACACACACACACACACACACACACGTGTACATACAAATGTACAGATAAACAAATACACATCAGGAGAATTTCACTTCTTGTTTGGAGAAAACTGTCATACCACATAGCATCCATGTAAACCTGTCCTCTGAGAGCTTCAGAGGTGTCTCAGTGGTTAAGAGCACTGGCTGCTCTTCCAGAAGACCCAGGTTTGATTCTCAGCACCCACATGGCAGTTCACAGGTGTATGTGGCTCCAGCTCCAAGACATCCAGCACTCTCTTTGGCCTGTGAGGGCACAGCATACATGCGGTACACTTAACTACATAAAAGCAAGACCCAAACACATAAAATAATAAAATGAAAATTATTTTAAATGAGTAAATAAATCGGTCCTCTCATGAGCTGTACTTTTTCTGATCTTGTAAGTTAATAACCATAATTAGTATCTCCTCTTTTTCTGCATTGGGAGCAAATGCATTGGGACTCAACCTGAAGACTTTATCATAGTGGTCTTTATTAATCCTTGCTAGATGAATCCACCTCAAAACCTAACTAGAAACTTCACAAGAAAATAAAAGCAGAAGAAGAAATGTGTGGTATGGGGGGGTGGGGGGGGTAGGGGGTGGGGTTAGGTTGCAGGGAGGAAGCGAAGGGAGAGCTGGACCCTTATCTTTAAGGAGCATATGAATAATCACCTCCTCGATGCTCTCACTGGCATCTCCCGCCACCTCCTGCCCCTCAGCTGCCTCTATTACTTTTAGAGGCAGTCCCCACCTGCCTCCCTTCCCTGAATTTCATCGTCTTATGGCCTGAAGAACATATACTTTAAAGAAGAAACCATTCCTACACAATTAAGAACTTATGAATAGCTCAGCTCCTGCCTCTCTCTCGTCCGCCAGATCACCCGGCATCAGCTCTTCTGGCGGGGAATTCTGGAGGTCCGTGGCGGTCACCATCAGTGTGAGCAGTAAGCATCCAGGTTTCATTCAACTCTGACAGGAAGAACCACACAGCTGAGCCTATCGTCCACAGACTGCCCTTCTCAGTCTTCTCCCGTGGATGGCCCCGTGGGTGGTCCCGTGGGTAGCCAATCAGAGAGCCGCACGCCCCACCAACCAACCATTCAAGACCTCTGCGTGTCATCTGCAGGCAGATCTTCTCTAACTCAGGTCGATTTCTAATTCTCAGTGAGAGGCCTCCTTGATACCTGCACTGAGGGGGGGGGGAATCATTCTGACACATCTCATGGTGCTCGACTTTACAACCAAGCAACAAATTCATGGGATATAGCACATGGGACATTCCTAGGATCTACATGCTAATTGCTGTTCGTGTGTGCATTTATGTGGGGGTGATAAAAGCAAAGCCAATGCCGGCGCTCAGGAGTTCTTGTGACCGTGACCCACAAAATACCTACGCAGCAAGGACTCTAGAGTGTCGGGGGAAATTTTGCTAGGCAAAAACTACAACTTTAGAAGCATTCTAAGAACCTGCTCTAAGAGAAGGGAGCTGTTATTCTTCCACTGGAAACTCCAGAGGGTGCGACATCGAGGGCCACAAGAAGAGAAAGCTTTAGGGGATGGGCCACTGTGTCCTCCACTGGGCCTGGCTTGAATAAACATGACTCCCTACCAAAATACGCCGTGGGCCTTTGGTGACAAAGACCAAGGCGAAAACAAAAATGTACTGAGTCTAACGCTGACACATGACATAAATGAATATAAAAGAGAGAGACCAAAACCAAACCAGAACACATGGTCTTTTTACTGAGGCCAGGTAAAGCCCCATTCCAAAGACCAAGGAGGACAAACGCACAAGGAAGTCCCAGGAAGTGACAATTGGCAGGTGGCATGCAGAAGCAGCCTACTACAGGGCATACATTGTGGTACCACCCATTTCCTCTCTCTGGTTAACTGTAAAATGATAATAAAAGGGAAAGGTTCTCTGCCCGGGGCCCTCCACCCAATCCCAGGGGTCTGGAAAAGGCACATGCGCTCCTCTACGCACTCGGCGCTTTGGGCTGAGTGGTGCCTCTCTGCTGCTGGCAGGATACTAATTGGCCTGATTAAGATCATTTTCCTGAGAAAGGAAAAGCAAGAGAGTGAGCTCTCCCACAGATGAATGTATAAGCACAAAAACAACCACAAGTGAAAAATAGTAACGGACGACACCTTGGCAAAGGTGCTCAGGAGCTCCGAGTTAATTATCTGCTCCCTCTGACTTTTGCTAAAGTATATTTTAAGACACGTTACATGTTTCTCCTCTGCGTGTGCACACACGTGTGCGTTTGTGTGGTGTGTATTCTGTGGCTCCTTGGGAACCACTCACCAGGGTTTTTTGAGACAGACTTTTTCACTGAGACCTGGGACTTCCTGACTGGACGAGGCTAGTGGGCGAGTGAGCCCCACAGACCCACTTGTCACCACTTCTGATGCTCTAGGACTGCGAGGGTGCACCCCGAGAGCCAGCCTCTACATGGGTGCTGGCGTTGGAAGTCAGCAGCTCCTGCTGGTGTGGTCACCATTTTCCCACCTGAGCCCTCTCCAGTCCTAAAATGCTCCACTTTTATAGCAAGCGCAACTACAAGTATGTGGGAAGGAAGGGAACTTATCGTTGAAAACTGGTCCCCAAAAATGTACCCACTTTCATTACCCTGCCAGAACGTCCCTCATCCACAACATGGAAAGAGTTCCACAAGATAACGTCACTGAAGATGCTCAACAATCACAACAGGAACAAGGGATCAACTCACGTTTTAGACTTAGCAGTATTTGAAGACGTTTTACGTGACTGTTAATCACAATCACACTTGTTACGGGAGGTTTTTCAACAGCAGAAATGACACCACAGAGCAGTGGCGTTATTAACGTGAGACATGAAGTACCGGCCGCGGTAAGACATGTGCTGCATTTTCAGGGTTTAACATCGAGGAAGCCGTGTGCGCGGGACCTATGGAACCACTAGAGGCTGTGCTTTGCCAAGAACATGTGAAATAAAAAGGGAGTAGCCACTATATTTCCAATCAACTTTAAATTATAGACAAACCAGAATATAATGCTAAGATTGTATTATCGGAAAACCATAGGGCATACTTTAAAGACTAAAAATAACTTTGAGGGGAAAAACTAGAATAAATCTGTAGCAGTCAAAGTAATCACATTTAAATTCTTATCAAACAGGTAATTTTGAAAGCAGACTTGAAAATAACCGGGGGATGTTATAAAATATGTGTTTTATAAATTTTACGGTGAGTGGCAAAGTCATCTTCCAATGTCACACATGACAAACATTAGAAACAAACGGACCAAGACGGCAGCCCAGAGCAGTACGGGGAGTGCTGGGCATGCGCGGGGAGTGCCGGGCATGCGCCGTCCCCACCACTGCGTCCTTGCCGCCTGGGCCAAAGTAAACTTGCAGACTCGTTTTCCAACAGAACGCTTCCTGTAACTCCTACTAACAGAGCATAGATAAAACACTAAGTAAACCTGTTTTCTATCTCTAACCTCAGATTCCATTAATCTGATCTTTACATTATTTAATCAGAAACCGATATGCTTTCGTGTTATTTAAAAATCAGTTAATCAGAATAGATCCCCACAGATTTTTTTTTTCACTTGGCTAAAACAACCAACATTAAAAATAAGTCCAACAATAAAATAAAATATTCAGTAGAAAAGAGAGTAAACTCTCCAAAGGGGATGTTTACAGTATTAGCAATGAATAATCTCCAAGCAAATAATCTCCAAGCAAAATTACTGCTAAAACAGAAAAGTAACACCCTTTTCGGTCCAGGCAATACTGAATTCTCCCATTCCCTGTTCATTTAGTTGGGGAGTGATACAAGGCATTAATGGTCTTCAATATCCCATCAAGGCTCTAGACATGTTTACAAACAACAAGAACGTAAAGGTAAAGGATTGACTTACGGCACCAGCAAGGAGATGAACCTTCAAACTTACTTTTGCAAAGGCTTCAAATAGGTCAAAAGAAGGCGGCAGTTGAGAAGCATCCTGTATCTCCTCTCTCATGAAATGCTGAAAGGTCATTGCAAGCTGCCTCAGGCCTTCTTTCTTATCCTCGGTGAGCTTGTTAATATCTTTATTGTAAAAAAAATAAATAGTATAATCACCAAGGGAACTTCATGGGTAATTTTCAGGTGTTCAATGCTGGCTATTAAACAAGATATTTCCTGGCATGCAATCTACCCTGACACCCTGACAACTATAAATCGTGATACATATCATATTGATTAAATTCTGTCTGACTTTATCCACAAAATAGATCACACCGCTATCGGATGGATAGATAGATAGATAGATAGATAGATAGATAGATAGATAGATAGATAGATAGATAGATAGATAGAATAAATGCACAGACAGGCTTTAGAAGTACAGTAAACCAAAATCAGCTGCAGATCTTTTACATCACGGTGCACAACTGTACTGTCATAAATCCTAATTAAGCCAGTGAATTTAAACTGACTATTCCCCATAATAATTCACAAGCAGGTCACAACTGACTCATAAACTGTATTATCTGAAAGGTTAAAAAGGCAGAAATGAGACATTTAAAGTTCATGTGAAGTTTTAAACAATTGAAGTTGGTCAGACAAAATGTGTATCATAACAAAAACCTGGACGGCCTGAAGAAACCTCAACCTTGAGTTATTTCCAGGTTGGACAAGACAGACAGGGCTGGAGGCTGGGGTGCTTCTCCTTCTGTTTGGTTAAAGAGAAGGATTCCAGACATAAGGAGAGAGCTAAAACTGGTAACAATTCTAGAATGTTTCAGGAAACAAAACCAGCCTAAAAATTACTAGGACTTTTTATACATTAATAGCAAACGATAACAGAATAAAAAATCCACAACATGAGTCACAATTGTGACCCCAAAATGAAACAGAGAGGAAGAAATTTAACCAAAGAAATGAAAGCCCTCTGCAATTGCAAAATTCTGATGAAAGAAACTGAAGTGATGAAGGAAGACAGGAAGGAAGAAGGGAGGGAGGGAGGGAGGGAGGGAGGGAGGGAGGGAGAACATTAAACATTAAGGACGATGACCCATGTTCATGAGTTAGAACAATTAATATTGTTAGGACGCCCACACTCCCCTAAGTCATTACATACTCAATGCAATTCCTAGAGATTATCAATGACATCCTTCACAGGAACAGGAGAAACAATCAGAAAGCCAAAGCAACCCTGAGGGAAAACGCTAGAGATGTGACAATATCTGATCTGAAAAACATGCTACAAGTCTATCATCACCAAAGAGTATTCCATGGACAAGAAAACAGACCCACCCACCACTGAACCAGGACAGAGAGGCCAGAAATTAATCTATGCTCACACAACAAAATGATTCTCAGCAAAGTTGCTACAAATACACATTAAAGAAAAAGATGGTGCCTTCACTAAACTGTGCCAGCAAACTAGATATTCATGTATAGAAGAGCAAAACTGGAGCTCTATTTCTTCATACATAAAAGCAATATTAAATGGATCAAAAACATAAATATATGATATTCATATATAAAAGAATGAAACTGGAAATCTATCTCTCTTCATACACAAAAGCAATATTAAACATAACAAAAACATACATATATGATATTCATGTATAGAAGAATGAAACTAGAACTCTACCTCTTTATATATGAAAACAATATTAAACATATCAAAAAATAAATATATGATATCCATGTATAGAAGAAGGAAACTAGAGCTCTATCTCTTCATATACAAAAGCAACATTAAACATATCAAAAACGTAAGTATATTATCCCAAACCATAAAACTATTAGGGAGAAAACATAAAGGAAAAGGTTTAGGACGCTGACCTGAGCACAAGGTTTTTGGATATAGCAACAAAATACTATCAAGAGAAAATAAAAACTAGAAAATAAGATGCAATCAAAGAACAACAACAAAATATCTGTACAAAGAATACAATCGGTACAGCAAAGAGACGGTCTACATAACAGACGAAAGCCTGCAAGTGATTCATCACAGGGGACTAATATCTAAACTGTACAAGGAACTCAAAAGAACCTATAACAGGAAGAAGGGAGGGGATGGGGAAGGATCTGGGGAGAGGGGAGGGAGGAGAAACTTTGGTTGGAAAGTAGAAACAAAAAGTAAATAAATAAGTAACAACAAAAAATAACTCAATAGCAGTATGACCTGATGATGAAGATCTCGTTTAAAGGAAAGAGCATGCTCTAGATAGACAGTCCTCAGGAGAAAATAAACAAATGATGGGCAGGCATGTGACAAAAGGCTCCACAGTGCTAATCATCAGAAAATGTGGACTAAAACGATGAGATATCATCTCACTCTGGCCAGAATGGTTATTATCCAAAAGCATAAAATAATAAATCCTTGCACAGATACAGAAATGCGGGCACTCCTATACAATGTCGTGCGGTCACTGTGCAACAGTGTTGTGTCAACAAGGCGTGTGCCCGTCCGAAGTTACTGCAGGTCAAGTCCCCAAAACAAGGAATTAGGACGAACAGATAAAGAATATACGGTTCATCTATACAGCAAAATACTACCCAGGCATTTTTAAAAAAAACAGTGAAAGCCTGTTATTTTCAACTCTGGGTCAAAATTGGAGAACACGATGCTAAGTGAAATCAGGCAGGCACAGGAAGACAAGGATCACACGTTCCCATTACTGGAGGAAGTTTGAAAAGGTTGTCTAGCTTCCTTTCTGTTGCTGTGATAAAATACCGACTTAGGAGAAGACGTTTTATCTGGTTTACAGTTCCAGGTCAGTCATTGAGGGAAGGCCCAAAAGCAGAAGCCATGGATAAACACTGCTTGCTGCTCACTCTCTGGCTCACTCACAGGCTCATGTTTACCTAGTTTTTTTTACACAGCCCAGGTCCACTTGCTCAAGGAATGGGCTGGGCTCTCCCACATGCACTGATAATCGAAATGATCCCTCACGGGCATGTTCACGCACTAAACAGATCTAAGCAATTCTCATCGGAGGCTTCTGCTCTCGGGTGACTCTAGGCTGTATCAAAGAGACAAAGTTAACCAGGGCAGAAGAGGAAGTGAAATAGTGATCACTGGATATAAGAAAGAACAAAGGAGAACGGAGTGAAGAGACGTTAGATAATGGGTACCAACATACAGTCAGCTAGGAAGAATCAGTACTGCTATTCTGTAGCCTACAGGCTTAAGTCCTTACCAGATAAAATAGTAAAAAGGTTCCCAACACAAAAATATGATCCATTTTTTAGAGAAAACACCTGTCATTCTGATACTATAATTACTTATTGTATATTTATGTTGAATTACTCTACTAAAACTTTTCAACTTTCAAAAGGTTCCCAATACATACAAATGATACATTTTTTGAAATGGTAATGCTAACTTCCCTGATTTTTTTTGTTACATATTATATACATATACTGGGACCCCATAAATGTGTTTAGATACTTTATGCATCAATTACATTTTTCTAAAAAACACACATAAAGAGATTTTTCTAAAGCCAATGACCTCCTTGAACATTACTTTAACTTATAATATCATATTTAAATAGTATGTCATTACAAATGGCATATTAAGGCTAAGAGTATGCCATCACACTAATAACACCTGAGAGCATTTCACCAAAGGCAAGGTAATGGTTTGCTACTGAGCAGGGCTAATGTTAATAGTCAAATTTCACTGTAAATGGTGTTAATTATCCAGCAGGACTACAAGGAGAAATGACTAATTAGCTCTCTATTAAAACTTGAAAAGACACATCAAGCTGAACTAACACTCTTCCTCATGTCAGGTTTGCACATTTCCTTCAAATTATTTGTCCAACAGAATAATTAACCCATGATTTTTTTTAATTATTTATTTTTATTTTATGGGCAGTGATTG